GAGGTTACATCGTAGGTTACATGTTTGTCTCTGAGGTTACATCGTAGATGACATGTTTGTCTCTGAGGTTACATCGTAGGTGACATGTTTGTCTCTGAGGGTACATCGTAGGTGACATGTTTGTCTCTGAGGGTACATCGTAGGTTACATGTTTGTCTCTGAGGTTATATCGTAGGTAACATGTTTGTCTCTGAGGGTACATCGTAGGTTACATGTTTGAATCCCTTAGAAGATTCACCTCTTGGTCACCTTGTAAAGCCTCTGAATGAATGAATGAATGAACGTTACACAGTAACTGAGTTATATTCAGATGTAACTTCAGTTCTATGAATCTTTCTGTAGCTCAGCTTCACTCTGTATTTACACAGTTAGTGTGAATATAAAGTAGCAGACTGATCATATTCTACAACACATGTGGAGGGTAAACTATGGATCCAGGACTACAGGTGTGCTGGTCCACACAGAACCAGTTCAGACTGCACACTCCCCATCACCTGCTCCCTGGTTCATGTTGTCATGGAATCACTGACAGTTATTCTATTCTGAAACTAAAGAGTCTAGTCACATGTCAACAGAACAAAAATCAAACATGATGTTAGAAAGTGACGTTTGAACCCTTAGTGCTCAGTGGACACATTAAATCACACAATCAGATGTGAACATGTCCTGGATCAACTGGATCAGACTCATGTATTTTCTCCATGTTTTTGTCTCAGGACCCCGGCCCTCTCCCCCCCTCCCCCATCCTGGGTCAGAAGCCACTGCAGTTACTGGAGGTGAAAGCTAGAGGGCGCTTCGGCTGCGTGTGGAAAGCTCAGCTCCTCAGTGAACACGTCGCTGTCAAGATCTTCTCCATCCAGGTTTGTCCCTGCGGCCATGAACGCACCGTCATCCATCACACGTCCTCTAGTGCAGCGGTCCCAACCACCAGGCCGCGGACCGGTTACCTCAAACATTCAGCGAAACTAGCGAAAATTAGTAAAAAACCTTTGGAGAGATTCTTTGCAAAGAGGAAAGGTCCACTAAGGAGACAGAAGAAGAGCCACAACTGAAAGAAAGCTTCATTTAACAGACAATATCAGGAGTCTGATTAAACATCAGGAGTAATTCTGAGGCGCTAAGCCCGCTCTGCAGAATACGTGGCGACAGAGGAAGATCAGCTGCTGGAGATTGTAAATGACGGTGGCCTTAAAAGTATGTTTGAGACAACAACTCTGCTGGAGTTGGATTAACATCAAGGCTGAATATCCTGAGATCTCCACTAAAGCACTGAAAACCCTGCTTCCATTTCACACATCCTCTCTGTGAACCGGGATGTTCTGCAGTGACGGCAATCAAAACTAAACGGAGTAGACTGGACATCAGGAACACACTGCGGGTGTCTTTGTCTCCCGTTTCCCCAGATGGACCGTCTCGTTGCAGAGAAACAAGCTTAGGGCTCCCACTGATTCAGTGTTATTGTGAGTTGTATTATTTATGCATTTTATATTTGTTTTCATGCCGATCGTATCATTTTATTTTATCCTGTTTTTCCGCCACACCTTGAATGCCGGTCCGTGAAAATATTGTCTTACATGAAACCGTTCCGAGGTGCAAAAAAGGTTGGTTGCTCTAGTGTACTATATTATTATAGTACTATACTAATATACACAACGACTGAACTTATGCTTCGCATATTATTCTATTTATTATCTCCTCTGTTATTGTTGATCACAGAGACTGTGTGGTGGGTCAGCTCTGTCTCTTTATGACCTGCAGGAGAAACAGTCATGGCAGAACGAGTTTGAGATCTTCAGTCTGGACGGGATGAGACATGAGAACCTGCTGGAGTTCATCGGAGGAGAGAAGAGAGGAAGTCACATGGACCTGGAGCTGTGGCTCATTACAGCCTATCATGAGAAGGTAGGTCCGCCTCCTGATGGACACAATAAAAATGATAATAATAATAATTAAAGCTGCGAGCAGCGATGAACAGGCCCTCACATCCTCACGCATGTCGGGGGTGCCGGTGAGACTCCGGCTCGCGCGTCCGAGAACGTCTGATGTTTTTTTTCCTGCGTGGACCGCCTGACGCTGGAAATTACACTTTGCAAATAGTCCACCGCTTCCTTCATCCGCTGTGTGGCGCTACAGAACACGTGTTATGTTGCTCTATAAGTGTAAACCACATTGTGTAAAATTCATGTAAATCGGATGCTGTTCGTCACAAAATGCAGATTTCCTTTTCGCCAGCAGGTGGCGCTTTGAGTATTAGTGAAAATTAAAGCTGCAAGCAGCATTGATCGGGCCCTCGCATATTGACGCACGTCGAGGGTACTGGCAGGACTCTGGGTGACGTGGCCATGCATTTCTGTGACCATCATACACTGCATGCACGAGTTAAACGGTATTTCCTGTGTCGACCAATGGCGTAGCCAGGTCATTTTGACAGGTCTTAAGCCTCGAATGTTTTGAGTGCACCTCCGAATACAATCACAACTGTCACCCTCTAAAAATCGACAAAGAACTGAATGTGTGTGAACGAGCTTCAGTGTTCGTAACATAACAGACTGTCAGAGTAAATGCAGGTCGTTTCTTTGTGCAGGTAGCTCTGACAATCACTGCTGATTGACTCAAAGCTGGAAGAGGCAAGGAGAAACAGGAGAATGTATAGTTCCATGTGGAAAAAAAAAACATCTTTTTATAAAGAAATAAGTTTAAGCCAAAAGGTGAGCCAATGTAGAATAATCTAACATACAAATTAGTCTGGGTGCAGTTTGATTTTATGAAACAAACTTCACGTTGCATGAAATTATTACATTACGGCATGGCTCCAAAACGAACAAAAACAATTACATTTACTATTAATGAAAACTCCACGTACAAGCGCGATTTGGAAACCTTTTTTATCCAATTTCTGCTCTCCAAACATCTTAGTTTGCACATATTTAGATCAGAGAAGTCTTTTTCTCATGGTGTGCCCACAAACCCTTTCAATAAGTTCAGTGTTTGGGCCGCTGTAATTATAGAATCCTGCTTACGTCCATGCTTATCAGTAGGTGGCGCTATGACTATGAGTTAATATTGGCATGCAGATGTCCTAAAGCCATGACAGTCAACAAGCATGTCAAGTTTGGGACAGTTTTGACAAAGTACAGTCGAGTTACAACAGCTTGATGGATGATGGTGAACCATGTAAAATGGCCGCCACACCAAGTCCATGTCGTTCGATGAAACCTCAAGCTTTTAGTAACTTTTAATCGCTAAGGTCTTTAGATTGTTCTGACCAAATTCTAAGCTGATCGGTTTAATTCCCTCGGAGGAGTTCACAGTACAGCACCTGAAAATGGAAAAAAACACGAGAAATTCATACAAAATTTAAAATGGCTGACTTCCGGTTGGGTTTAGAGCATAGACCCTTAAGACTTTTTTTTAAGTCTACATGTGATACACCTGCTTACCAAATTTTATACATCTAGGTGAAACGTACTGCGAGGGCTGCATCGTCGAAATATTGTAGGGGGCGCTATCGAGCCGACTTGCCACTCTGAAGCGTTAAAATCACAATAGATAACTACATTCAGGATTTTAAATGTGTGTGACAAGTTTGGTTATGTTTTGAGCATTTTTAGCCCCTCAAAAACACCTTAATCTTTCATGGCGAAGAATGCGTCGCCACGGCAACGGGCTTTCACGAAACAACAAGCTTTGAGTAACTTTCATCACAAAGGTCTTTAGATTGTTCTGAACAAATTTGAAATTGATTCGATTATTTCCCTAGGAGGAGTTCGTTAAAGTAAAGTGCCTGGAAATGACAAAAACGACACTAGAAATTCATACAAAATTCAAAATGGCTGACTTCCGGTTGTGTTTAGAGCATGGTTCCAAGAGACTTTATTTTAAGTCCATATGTGATACATGTGCCTGCCAAATTTAATCTATGTGAAACGTACAGCGAGGGCTGCTTCGTCGAAATTGTGTAGGGGGCGCTATTGAGCCGATTTGCCACTCTGAACCAATAAAATCATATTCCATAACTAAATTTTGGGCTTGTAATCTGCTTGCCAAGTTTGCTTATGTTTCGAGCATTTCTAGCCTCTCAAAATGACCTTCGTTGTTAACGGCGAAGACTGCATCGCCACGGCAACGGCGTTCGACGAAACATCAAAAGCTTCATGAACTGGTATTATGAACTTCTTACATTTGTGTGGAAGTAAGTTGATGTTGATTTTACCTACTCAGAGAAACAAGCCAAAGTATAATGACTTTACCTTCCTGTTACCAGTAGGTGGCACTATGACTATGATTCAAAATTGGCCTGCAAATGTCTTCAGGCCTGGAGTCTAATCAAACATGTGCAATCTGGTAAAGATCTGGTGATGTGGAGTTGAGTTACATCAGTTTATTCGTTCATAGCGAAGGATCGAAATTCGCCGAGCCGCCACGTCGCCGCCCTTCAACAACTTGTTACAATTTTCACAATGAAGCATTACCAAGGTCTTAAGGCTGTTCTGACAACATTTTAGAGGGATCTGATTAATCTGTGAGGAACAGGATGTCAAAGTACACAACTTACAACTTACAGTTGCCACTAGGTGGCGCTATTACTATGATTCTAAATTATCATATCGATGTGTTCCGGGTCAGGATGTTATGACATATGAGAGATTTGGAGCAGATTCGACAATGTACGACCGAGTTACAACCACTTCCTGTTTCGCGGCGAATGGTGTTTTTTTTGATGCCACGCCACGGACACATAGTTCGATAACTTTTTGATCTTTGAGTAACTTTTCACTGCCAAGGTCTCAAGAGCATACTGACCGAATCTGAAGTCAATCGGGTCAAATCTCTGGGAGGAGTTCGTTAAAGTATGACGCCTTGAAATGGTCAAAAAACGTGATAAAAGTCAAAATGGCCGTCTTCCTGTTTGGTTTAATGAAAGACTCCAAGAGGATTTTTTGTGCGTCTCATCACGTTCCACATACCTACCAAATTTCATACAGCTAGGTGAAATTCGATGTTGGGGCTACTCAATAGGGGGGCGCTATCGAGCCAATATTTCATACCGCAGCTGGACACCTCAATCAGACTGCAATTTTCGCAAATTCTGGCTTGCGTGCCAAATTTCACAAAATTCCCAGTATCCCAAGCACCTCCTTTTTGCGATGAAAGTGGAAAAGTAATAATGAACATTCGTCGGTGCTCGGGCCCTAATAATAAACAATCGAATAACAATAGGTCCTCCGCTCCGACTACGTCGGTGCTCGGGCCCTAATAAACATTAGAATAACAATGGGTCCTCCGCTCCGACTATGTCGGTGCTCGGGCCCTAATTAGAATAACAATAGGTCCTCCGCTCCGACCACGTCGGTGCTCGGGCCCTAATTAGCTTATAGACATCCTCGGGCCATGAGTGTTGTCAAGCATGGGAAGTTTGGGACCGTTTGGAACAAATCCAGCTGAGTTACATAAGCTTTTTTGATGGGGAATCATGTAAAGTAGCCGCCCGCTACGGCTAAACCATTCCGTCAAACGTAAAGCTTTTAATAACTTTTAATGATGGTGTTAAGGTTGTACTGACAACATTTGAAGTGGATTCCACAAAGTACCTAGGAGGAGTTTGTTAAAGTATAGCGCCTATAAAATAAGGGAAAATTCACACATAAATCAAAATCGCTGACTTCCGGTACAGTTTAGATCATGGTCCCAAGAGAGTTATTTTTAAGTGTCTATGGGATACATGTGCCTACCAAGTTTCATACATGTCCCTGAAACGCAGCGCTGGGGCTGCTATTTTGAAATATTGTAGGGGGCGCGATGGAGGTAATTTAAAACGGCCAAGCCAAAATCCCACATGAAATATGTCATCCTATGACACATGTACAAAGTTTCATGAGTTTTGGGGCATCCCAAGCCACTAAACCATCAGCTTCTTTTTCATGGCGAATGATGCGTTGCCACGGCAACAGCGTTCAACAAAAACTCACAATATTCATGAAGATGCATCATCAATGTCTTAAGGCTATCCTTACCAAATTTGAGACTGATCTGGTCAACTGGCTAGGAGGAGTAAATAAAAGTATAAAATGTGACATTTCCTTTTGCCAGTAGGTGGCGCTATGAGTTATAGAACATTTTGGCATTGATATATGCTCAAGCTTGAAGTAGCATCACGCAAATGTAATTTTGTGCAGATTGAATAATGTACCTTGGAGTTATAACAACTTTATTGTTCATGCCAAATGACGCAAAATGGCCACCACGCCACGTCAAGGTTCTTCCATGAAAACTCACAAATTTAACTTTTTATCACATAGGTCTGAAGAGCATCCTGACCAAATTTGAGGTTGATCCCACTAATTCTGTAGGAGAAGTTTGTTAAAGTACAAAGGCTGAAAATTGCAAAAAGTGACAAAAAAAAAGTCCCCCAAATATGCGCCCAATGTACTATGTGTATTCGAATTTCAATAGGGCCTTCGCGGCCCGACGTTGTCGGTTGCTCGGGCCCTATTAAACATTATGTAGTTCTAAGATGAATAATCAATGAACAGTGTGACTCAGTTTTAAAATAATACAGACTATATTATCTGAATGTAAATCATTTAATCTGATCAGTTCCTCTCAGGTTGGCTCAGCGTGACACCATGACGTCACACATGACGTCGCGTGACACCATGGGTACATCCCAAGTCTCTTAATTGTCATTTCCTCGATCCTCGCTTGAACTGGAAGTTGTACTGCGCCGCCATATTGACGGCCGTCCCAAAGCTCTTATTTAGCTCCGAGGATCGAGGAGGGAGGATCGAGGAGGGAGGAGGGAGGAGGGATCTCTGAGGAGCCACGAGAACAGAGTTCCAGGAAGTCTTTTAACGTCCGACACGCCCCCTCATTGTTCATCAGTTATGTGATTGGACGCTGCAGCTGATCGGACTGACTGACTGGAGTTTAACACCAGAGTGAAGACAGATCACAGAATGAACTCTAGTTTATATTAGGTTTCTGATTCACCATCTGGTTTAAATAAATGTTCATTGTAGTCTGAACAACAAAAGAACCACAAACAACTTTCTACATTTATTAGAAAGATTTGTGTTTTCATGATCTGATGTTTCCCTCAATAACTTTATTATGGAAACAATTA